GTTAATAAACATAATTTGCTTCTTCTGTTAATACAAACCTTGGCTACTGATTCTAATTTAGTATAGTATTTTGTTAAATTTTTAAAAATGTGACATAAATGCTTAAAAATAGGAAACAAATTTAAGAATCATAGCTTCTGTTATAAATGAACCTTTATTAATTTTGTGAATTTTTATAAATGCATAAACAAATTCAAAAGAGAATGAGAAATATTTATAATAAATTAGTTTAAATCACGGCTGGTAGTGGTGGCTCACGCCTGTAATCCCAGCACTTTGGGAGGCCGAGGCAGGTGGATCACCTGAGGTCAGGAGTTCAAGACCAGCGTGGCCAACATGGCAAAACCCCATCTCTAATAAAAATACAAAAAATTAGCCAGGTGTGGTGGCAGTCACCTGTAATCCCAGCTACTTTGGAGGCTGAGGCAGAAGAATCACTTGAACCCGGGAGGCAGAGGTTGCAGTGAGCTGAGATCCGTGCCATTGCACTCCAGCCTAGGCAACAAGAGTGAAACTCTGTCTCAAAAAAACACACATTTTGTTAAATTACAATATGTTATTATCTTTACAATTATTTAATTTGTGTTTGTGTTTTCCTATTTAGGAAGTTAATTACTTTTATTTTAATATTAACATTCATTTTCACCTCAATCTATTATCAGTCCAGTGTTTGCACCTGTCAATGAAGTGAGCACATAAAGACCAGTATGTGTATTCCAGAGAAAGTGGAAGGTCAGCAGCTGGCAAAACAAAATGACAGTTTAATGTGGACAGAGCCAGGATTCAATAGACCATGTTGCAGCAAAGTTGAAAGTTCAACTCGAAGTGGAGAGCAAACACTCTAGTCTACATGTGATGCTTTTTCCTCTTTTTTTAATGAAAAGAGATGTTATCTTCATCATCATAGTAGTGTTGTCATTTGGAGAGATTGAATAATTATTTGCTTTACAGAAGATAGACTTTAGAACAGACTTATCTCTAGTTATTACATAGTTGATCATTATATGAGAGCTGGGAAAAGGGAGCCTTAAAAATTGAAACTAATTTTTACTGTACATAAATTTAAACAGAGTTTTTTTTATAAGCATTCAATCACCAATTGAATATAGTGAAATAAGTATATTAATGTCTTTCTACATGGAAACTTATTTTGTTCTACTGATTTGTTTTCCTAATTTTCTGGTAATTAATTTTTTAAATTTGGGTTAACTTTTTTTTTAGCATAATGGCAAATGTTCTCCCTGACCCTGGGCCTGGGGATCTTCCCCTGGTGATTTCCTCGGACTACTTACTGTTCATCAGATGGTAGTGAACTCACTGTCTGCCTGCTGTACGCTGGGCAAAGAGGTGGTTCAAGTGGTTTGTGCCCTTTGAGAACAAATAGGTCGAGGGATTCCAAAAAGTGTCCATTGCATGTCACTTTGGTGACCCCCACTTTTTTGATGCCAAGGAAGGCTAATGATAACTAAGACTTCTTGTTGCTTTTGTTAAGTTGGTGGTATTGTTTCTTTGGCTTTCTTTTTGGCTAGTTTGCTGTCACATGGGTCTTGATAAGTGAGAGTCACTGTGCTTGTAGTGGTGGGTGATAGTTTCTTTTAAAAAGTTTGAGGTACTGTGTAGACAACTAAGGGAAGTGTTATTTGGGTAGTTATAGAACCACCAAAGGACTCTCCAGGCTTTTGGGTTCTGATGGAGTAGGAGTTAGAGTTTAGATACCTAAGGTAGGAAAAATGGGCAGGATCAGGACTAAGTCAGTCCTGAGGGTTCTTCTATCAGGTAAATCAGAATGGCAAGTCAAGCAATCCCATTATTGGGTATATAACCAAAGGAATATAAATAATTCTGTTATAAAGATACATGCACGCAAGTGTTCATTGCAGCATTATTCACAATAGCAAAGACATGGAATCAACCCAAATGCCCATTAATGATAGACTGGATAAATAAAATGTGGTATATATACACCGTGGAACTATGCAGCCATAAAAAGGAATGAGATCATGTCCTTTGCAGGGGCATGAATGGAGCTGAAAGTGGTTATCCTCAGCAAACTAATGCAGGAACAGAAAACCAAACACCACATGTTCTCACTTCTAAGTGGGTGTTGAATGATGAGAACATGTGGACTATGGGAGGGAACAACACACAACTGGGGCCTGTTGGGGGGAGGCATGAGAAGAGTGAGAGCATCAGAAGTAATAACTAATGGATACTGAGCTTAATACCAAGGTGATGGATTGATCTGTGCAGCAAACCACCATGACACACATTTACCTGTATATCAAACCTGCACATCCTGCACATGTACTCCAGAGCTTAAAATAAAAGTTGAAGAAGAAAAAAAATGCCAGGTTAGCCATGCCGGGGGTGTGGGCTTCCATCCCTGATCACATGCTTTTCTCTGACTATTAGTTTCATGAATGGCCTTATCCAAATCTTTAGCTTCAACCCACGTACTGAGGAATCCCAAATTATATATCTAGGATCAACCCATCTCTTATATTCCAGGCCCTGTCTCAGTTGCTATGTTAGTCTGTTTTCATGCTGCTGATAAAGACATACCCGAGACTGGGAAGAAGAGGTTTAATGGACTTTCAGTTCCACATAACTAGGGAGGCCTCACAATCATGGCAGAAGGCAAGGAGGAGCAAGTCACGTCTTACATGGATGGCAGCAGGCAAAGAGAGAGCTTGTGCAGAGAAATTCCCATTTTTAAAACCATCAGATCTTGTGAGACCCATTTGCTATCATGAGAACAGCATGGGAAAGACCCGCCACTATGATTCAATCATCTCCCACCAGGTATCTCCCACAACACGTGGGAATTATGGGAGCTACAAGATGAGATTTGGGTGGGGACACAAAGCCAAACCAGTTGCCTTTTACATGTTTTCATTCAAACAGGCCATGGGTACCTGAGACTCAAAGTGTTTTGGTAAATCTGAATTTATCAAAAACAAACAAACAAACAAAAGGCTAGCACACAAAATTGTTCCGATTCTTATTGTTTGTTCTTAGTGAATAGGTCCATTCTCCATCTACCTGCCCAAATGAGAAATTTCAGGCAGCTCTGTCCTCACTCAAAAAGTCCCCTAAATTTGACCTCTTTTGTAATTTATCTCAAATCTGCCTTCTCTACTTTAGCTCAATTTTGTTTTCTATTGTATCTCCAGTGCTTAAACAATTCTTGGCATATAATAAGCATTCAGCAAATATTTATGGAGTGAACAAAGAGGACAAGAAAAGCACTTGGCCCTGCATGAAACAGTTAATTCAGGGAACAGACAAAAATTTAAAATATATTATTTCTATAAAAAATATTTTGGGAGACATTCAAGAGAAACTTTTTTCCATTAAGCAAGGACAGGCAGCTATGAAAAAGGAACAGTCTGAACCAAAGAACAATTTATTAAAAGGAACAAATAAAACTGAAAAAAAAAAGGGCAATAGACAGGCTGAATAATAAAATTGACACAACTTAAGAATAATCTGGAAGACAAAGTGAAGAAAATTTCCTAGAACATAGGGCAAAATGGCAGACAGAAATAACGAAAAAAGTTAAAATATGGAGGATAGATCCAAGAGATCTAGCACCTTTCTAATAGCATTTTTTTGAAAGCAAAACAAATACAATAGAAGTGAGACTATAATAAAATGCATTTTTTAAAAACTGGTATTATTAATAGGAAAATTGTTTTCAATGGGCTGCCGTGGTCTGATTGCAAATGCTACATATAAACACTGAATTATCTAAATTATATAAGACAGTGAAGACTGCCAGGGGACTATGGTTGGCATATTGTAAGTCTCAGTTCTCTTTCTCAAAGCTGCAGAAAAGCCACATTGTTATGCATTAATTTGAAAATTTATATTTACCTTGTTTTATTTTCTTTCCAGGTAAGCTATACAGCATCTATGGGGACACATGAAGAAGAAAAGATGAAAATATCAGGATCTAAGGTGTAATAATGACTAATATGACCATTATTATGAACCTAGTTATTGTTTATATTAAAAAGTAGCAATTTGCTTAGAAAGTAGCAATGACTTTGGAAGCTACACTGAGAATTAGCCTTATGAAGAGACAGAGGACCTGATTGCCTCATTAGTATGATTCTGTAGCACATCCCTGCCACATCCACGGAAGTCTCTCTCATTCATGATATGCCTACAATTCATCTATTAGAGATTCATTCCTTTTGCTGAAACTTCATCCTCTTGCAAAATATAAACATTATTGATAAATGGCATAAAGCTCTACTATGAGTTGGTAAGATCCTTTCTTGAGAACTGTTTTGATAGAAGGAGGAAATGAGTAACTGGGAGAAGCTGCTTCCTATGACAAAGAGATGGAGAGACCACAGTAAGTGAAAGAAAACACAATTTACAAAACACAATATACAATTTACAAAAAGGGGCAGCTTGTGCGGCTGATGAAGATAAATCTTGGTTGCTTTGTAATATTGTTTAGAGCTAACTGCGTCTAAGTTCACCATTTACAGGAAATAGAGGCATGGGATTTTAAACCATTTCTATGTTTGGTAATTTACAAGTAAATATAACTCATTGTTCTCTTGAAAAGAAATTTTTTTTTTGAGACAGGGTCTCGTTCTGTCATCCAGGCTGAAGTGCGGTGACGTGATCACAGCTCACTGCAGCTTTGACTTCCTGGGCTTATGTAATTCTCCCTTTTCAGCCTTCCAAGTAGCTGGGACTACAGGTGCACACCACCATGCCTTGCTAATTTTTAATTTTTTGTAGAGACAAGGTCCCACTATATTGCCCAATCTGGTCTAAAACTCCTAGGCTCAAGCCATCCTCCCACCTTGGCTTCCCAAAATGTTGGGATTACAGGTGTGAGTCACCGTGCCCTGCCTCAAATTATTTTTGATAGTAGTTAGAATATACATACTATTTACAGAAATAGTCTTTTCAGATTTATGGAGAAACAAGATATATTGTTTGTGTAATTAACTTTGTGATATATTTTCTATTGAAAGGTTGAAGACAAACAAGCTTTGGAGTCTCAAATAGAAGCATTAAAGGCAAATTTAGAGAACGAGAAAAAGAAGGTGGAAAGGTACTGGTAACAGAGTGAAAGGCACTGGTAATGAGACATAATGTACATTTGTAACTAATACAATATTTAACCATCTGTAAATTTATTATAGGTTTGGGAAGGAAGCAGAACGACTAAGCAAAAACTGGGAAAAGAGATTCTTTATTCTCAGGAACAGGTATGGTGTGATATATACAAATTATATTTCTAAAAACGTGACTAATCATCCTTTAAGGAAGTTGTGAACCTTGCAATTTTTTTACATAGTAATGTTAAATCACCTCATATACTTCTACAAGAAATGCAAAATAATTGGTCTAAAATAGAAGAGTAATCAAAATCACTGAGAAGTGAAATCGTTCAAGGTGTTTTCATTCCCTATCTGTGTTTCTGTTTTAAAAGATCAGAAGGACAGACAGACTCTCTTAATACCTGGTTTAATCAGACCTATTTAGTCATCTTCTTTCATAGGGCTATTAAAACCTTTTCCTGCTCATTTGCACACAATGATATGTAACTAGTTTGTATTGTCTTTATAAAGTTGCTTTATATATCAGATCCTCTACCAGACACAACAGCTCCAATTCCTCAACCTCTCAGATCTATTTTTCACTCACATAAACATTTTATTTCTCTTCCCAATATCCTCTTTGCCTTTTTCAAAATGGAGAAAGTGAAACTGTAAAATTCTGAAAAGGACAAAAACGATGCATATCGAAAAAATGCTTATTTTTTCCTTACCCTAACATGTTAACATGAAAAATCTGTCTTCTGTTTAGTTGTGTTCTGCCATAATTTCCCCCAGATTCTCTTCCTTAACACGTGTGGGAAGTTCTTTTGCAATATTCTTTCACAGTCAAGCATTATCCAGGCACGATGAATTTAATGTTGGTCTGATGGAGGCCATCGGAGGTCAAACTTGAAGCTTACACATAAGATCTTGGAATGGCAATGCCCTACGTTTGCACTGTTTTTCATAAGCACACACTATGGATTTTGTCTGTATAAACTTCTATACCTGGCTATGTATATTATATGGAAATAATTCATCCTAAGTGAGGGGGCACAAAGAATCCACGCCAAGACAGAAAAAACACAGGATTGAGAGCAAAACACCTTGTAGTAAAATGTTCTGTCTTGTTCTGTTTGGTGCTGAAATGATCTCCTACCTGTGTTTCATGTATGTGCTGAAAAGCATTTTGTGCTGTGTAAAATGTGCATATTAACATCTGCCCTGTCTCACATAGTTATTTAAGAACAGAATGTAGATACATGTGAGACAAAAGAAAATTTAAATAGGCACTTTTTTTCATGTCCCTGCACATAGGTTTTGGATTATCTCTAGAGCTGAATAAAATGACTTTCCCTTATTTATTTCCTTAGGGTTCACTTTCATCCTTAAGATTTACCTCGTCTCTGACCCTACGGGATTTACCCTATTCTTCAATGATGATTTACGAGAATGTATCAGTTTTACTTTTTTTTTTTTTTTTTTTTTTTTTTTTGAGAGGGAGTTTTTGCTTTTGTTGCCCAGGCTAGAGTGCAGTGGCGCAATCTTGGCTCCCTGGAACCTCCATCTGGATTCAAGTGATTCTCCGGCCTCAGCCTTCTGAGTAGCCAGGATTACCGGCGCCCACCACCACGCCTGCCTAATTTTCTTTTTTGTATTTTTAGTAGAGATGGAGTTTAAAGTTTCACTTCTAATTGATTTTCTATTAACCAAGATGTTGACAATCATATTAATCATTTTGGTCTCTGCAGACTTTATGTTGATATCTAAATATTTAGGAAAGCAGAAGTATTTATTACTACACACTTTTTATGTTTTCTTATTTGACCAACTAATTGGGATATTGTAGATTATGTCTCTCTACTTAGGCTGCAGCTCCAGTTATTAATTCAATGTGGCATATACAGCACCGTAGAGAGTGCATTTGTACAGAGTACTTCATTGCGGTGTGGTATGGAGATTAATTGTGCAGCCACAGACTTACGTGGGCTAACATGGTAATTTCATTTTACTGTAACTGATCCTAGATTAGATGCACTCATTTTTGTTCAGTAGAGGAAAACCTCACCTTAGCCAGTCAAGATCAGAGTCCAACTCAATGATTTCTCAGTCAATTCATGATTTATATTGGGTCCCAGTCCAATTCAGGGCTTCATTTCCAAGCTCCTTTTCCAACTCTGCCGAGTTCTTATTTCCAGGAAGATTGAATGTGAGCAGTGCTGACAAGGGCAGGGATAGTCCTTCCTCTTGGTGTGCCAAGCCAGGTGCAGATGCTGATGTCATCATTATTGCACAAACAGTATGCAGGTGTGGCACATCAGCTTTGGAACATGTCCCTACCTGGCTAATGCCACAGTGATGCCGCTGTTCCCACCTCCACCCCAGGCAGCAATCCCCATGCATCCACCTGAGCCACCCTCTGTTCTGCCTGATGGGCTCCAGGCCAGATGGATTCACTTTTGCCAACTCCGCTTACCAAGCACATAAATGTTACAGGTGGTTCCCGTGCCACTCTGGCTTGCATATATAGAAGAGGTCCATGCACACATCCCTTCTCCTGCCCTCCCCTCCTCTCCCCACCTGCCTCAACTCAGAGCGCTAGATTGCCATACCAGAGGGACTGCAAACATCAGAAATCTAGATAGGGCATGCAAGGTGAAGGCCCACTCTGCTCATGTAGTCCCCTCACCTTGGAACCCGCTGTAAACAGAAACTCCACACTGCTCCTTACTTCAACAAAGTGAACACCTGTGTCCTCACCACACAGGTAAAGAAAGAAGGAATTAGCAGTAGCTTCATGGTCCCTGTTGCCCATCCAGCGCCTGTCACCTCTCCTCCCAATTAGCAAATATTCTGAACTGAATGCTTATCATTCCCTTGGGGAAAGTTTTCAATAACATTCAATTTGTCCTAAAAATTGGGCTATTCCAATTTTCAGTTTCTTCTAATCAGTTTGATAATTTATGTTGTCTTTTATGTTTGGGAATTTTCTTATTTCATTGAATTGTCTAATTTATTGATATAAAGTTGTTCATAATATCATCATATTATATGTATAAATGACAGTCATGTGTGTCACTTGATGACAGGGATACATTCTGAGAAACGTGTCATTAGGCAATTTCATCATTGTGTGAGCATCTTAGAGTGTGCTTACAAACCTAGATGGCATAGGCTACCACACGCCTAGGCTATATGGTATAGCCTATTGCTCCTTGGCTGCAAACCTGCACAGCAGGAGACTGTAACTGAATACTGTAAGCAATTGTAACACAATGGTAAGTGTTTATGCATCTAAATACACCTAAACATAGAAAAGATATAGTGAAAATGCAGTATGAAAGATAAAGAATGGTCTACCTGTATAAGGCACTCACCATGAATGGAACATGCACGAGTGGAAGTTGCTCGGGTGAGCCAGTGGTGAGTGAATGTGAAGGCCTAGGACATTACCATACACTACTGTAGATTTTGTAAACACTAGACACCCAGGCTACACTAGATTTACAAAAAAAAAAAAAATTTTTTTTTCAATAACCAGTCAGCCTTGGCTTACTGTAATTTTTTTACTTTATAAACTTTCTAATTTTTAAAACTTTTTGACTCTTACATAATAACACAGCTTTAAACACAAACATATTGTACAGCTATAAAAGATTATTCTTTCACGTGCTGGTGCACACCTATAGTCCCAGCTATGTGGCAGCCTGACAGTTGGGAGGATCACTTGAGCCCAGGAAGTTGAGGCTGCAGTAAGTTGGGATCATGCCTTGCACTCCAACCTGGGCGACAGAGTGAGACCCTGTCTCAAATGTATGTGTGTAATTTTTTCCTTTATATTCTTATTCTTTAAGCTTTTGTCTGTGTTTAAATTTTTTTATTTTTATTTTTTACTTTTTAAACTTTTTTGTTAAAAACTAAGATACAAACACATACACCAGTCTAGGCCTACACAGTGTCGGGATTGTCAAGATGTTACTAGGCAGTGAGAACTTTTCAGTTCCATTATAATCTTGTGGGACCACCATTGTATATTCAGTCCGTCGTTGACTGAACATCATTATGCAGTGCATGACTGTATCTGTAAGATCTGGTGATGTCCCTTTTTCATTCCTGATATTTGTGTTTCATTCCTGAGAATTTGCACTTTTCTCCTTTTTTCTTAGTCTGTTGGGAGTTATCAATTTTGTGTTATTTATTTCAAAGAAATAATTGCCTTTGCTGAACTTTTCTCATATGTCTTTTCATTGACTTTTTAAAATTTTAATTTTAATTAAAAAACGTTTTTTTCCTTTCTAACTTTTATTTTAGGTCAGGGGGTATGTGTGCAGGTTTGTTACATGGGTAACTTGCATGTCGTAGGGGTTTGGTGTACAGATAATGTTGTCACCCAGGTAATCAGCATAGTACCTGATAGGTAGTGTTTCAATCCTCACTCTCTTCCAAACCTCCACCCTCAAGTAGGCCCCGATGTCTGTTGTTCCCATCTTTGTGTCTATGTGTACTCATTGTTTTGCCCCCATTTATAAGTGTGAACATAGGGTATTTGGTTTTCTGTTCCTGTGTTATTTCATTTAGGATAATGGCCTCCAGCTCCATCCACATTGCTACAAAGGACATGATTTCTTCTTTTTTATGACTGTGCAGTATTCCATCGTGTATATGTACCATATTTTTTTATCCAGTTTACCATTGATGGGCATCTAGGTTGATTTCATGTCTTTGCTATTGTGAACAGTGCTGCAATGAACATACATGTGCATGTGTCCTTATGGTAGGACAATTTATACTCCTTTGGGTATATACTCAGCAGTGGAGTTGCTGGATCAAAGAGTAGCTCTATTTTAAGTTATTTGAGAAATCTCAGACTGATTTCCACAGTGGCTGAACTATTTACATTCCCATCAATAGTGTGCAAGGGTCCCCTTTTCTCCACATCCTCACCATCACTTGTTATCTTTTGTCTTTCTGGTAATAGCCATTCCAACAGGAATGAGGTGATATCTTATTGTGGTGTTGATTTGCATTTTTCTGATGATGAGTGATATTGAGCAATTTTTCATATACTTGGCCATTTGTGTGTCTTCTTTGGGGAAATATCTATTCAGTTCCTTTGTCCATTTTAAAATCGGGTTGTTTTCTTGCTGTTAAACTGAGTTTCTTATATA